TTTTCAATGAATATTCCATTTTGGGATGTAGTAAATTATTTGCCTTCATTTGCAGAGCCCATCAGCGGTGCAGCTCCGCGCGTTGCTCTGATACAGAAAACCAATCTTGAATATGTTTCGGTTCAGGCAAACGTAGCCATAGTCTGTCCGGCTCAGGGTTATCCAGTGCCTGCCTTTCGGTAAGGTTGTTGTAGTACTTATCCTACCCTTTACAATCAGGCAGTTGGCATTTTATTCTATGTAGATTATGAAATGTAAATGAATCTTTTATCGTAGAGCCCATTAGCAGCACTATGCCCAAAGTTGTCTCCCTGGCCAAATTCGACATGAAAACGCATGCTGGCGCAAGCACACTGTCCTTGCTATGTCCTGCTCAGGGCTATCCCGTGCCAATATTTAGGTAAATCAATCATCACGCTTAAAGAGTACTCAACATTCAGGGGTTTTCAGTTATCGTATCCCAGCTCTTTGCTTAAGGATGAATATAATATTTCAGAGCCTGTTTCGAGCACGGCGCCCAAAGTGCCGCCACTGCAGTCGCGTCCTTTGATTGTGGCTGCTCGAACCAGCATTTCCATATTGTGCCCAGCTCAGGGCTATCCCGCGCCTAGTTTTCGGTAAGCTAACCAATGGACTCCCCATGCCCACCCAACATTTTGGCAGTTTATCAAATTATTTGTCATAATCTACTAAAATATCGCTGGCATTTTCAGAGCCTATTGGCAGTAGCCCGCCCAAGATAAATGCATTGACGTATAAGCCGAATACGGTTGAATTTCATTCATCCACTGCAATTCTTTGTCCTGCTCAGGGCTATCCAGCGCCCAGCTTTAGGTGTGTTAGCGTACATGCATATATAAAGTATTCGAAACCAACATCAGGCTAGCAATATTTACAATTTCTCACTGCATTAACAAACACTTTACAGAGCCCATTTCAAGCACCGCCCCTAGAACACCCGAGCTGGTTCAGAAACCCATCGAGCTGCGTCAGGCTCAAGCGATTTCACTGCTTTGTCCAGCTCAGGGCTATCCAGCGCCCGGTTTTCGGTAAGCCGAAACTCAACATTCAGAGGCAGTTGTTTTTCCTTAAAGTCTTACAAGATTTTTGCTTTGATTATGTATAGAGCCCGTTGGCGGCAAGGCGCCCACTCTGCTCTCCAATGATATCAAACGGTCGTGGATCGAGCGCATGTTGTCAACGAATTTGGCATTATTTTGCCCAGCTCAGGCTTATCCAGTGCCAGCGTTCAGGTTAGACTAAGAAGTAGTAAAGCATAAAGTTAATTTAGCCAAGTTATAGATTAAATGGAGATGTGTTTATATCAATAATTAGGGTCCCACACTCTCCATTGATACGAATATAGTTATAGCAGATATAGTTCTGCTGTGCCCGGTGCAGGCATTTCCGGTGCCCATCAGGAGGTTTGTCGGCAGCCATTCGTGGCATAATGCGTGCCTTTAATAATGTATGAGACGTGTGAACTTTAACCCCAAGCGAGGGGCCAATCACTGGTTCATTCATAAAATGTGCGCGCCAACATGAGCAGACACCAATAAAAACACAAACAGACTAACAAACACACACACACAAAAACACCACACAGACGAGCTGAAGCACTAGCGAAATAGGCGCAAACACACTCATAAAAAGTAAGCTAAATAAACAAACCGTAAATCGGCGGCAACGGGAGATTCATGGAAGAGCACCGCAAGCAAGGCAATTCAAATACAGCCCTTGCCACTCACTCACTCGCTCACTCGCTCTGCTTTGTTTGCATGTGTGCGTTGCTTGTGTTTGTAAACAAACGCACAACACAGCTGTTCGCTCTCTCGTGCTCTCTGCGCTCTCTGCGTACACTGCGCATGCTCGTGCTCCACACGAAATTTCCCATAACAAACTTCCCCTACATGCGCACGCCGTTGCTTGTGTGTATCGTGTGGATGGCATGCATCTCGCTCGCACACCGGTTTCTTGAATGAACGCACGTTTTTGGGTCAACTTTCGTTTGTTGTTTTCAGCTCGACTCTTTCCCCGCCACCTGTTGCCGCCGCAAGCACTGAGTGCGCATGCCTCATGGCTGTTGTTGCTGTTAAGTTTTTGGTAACCTTAAGCTTAGCATTGACCCCAATAAAATATGCATTGAGTGCGTCAGTTATTGCCGGCTTTGTCTTTTACTGCTGCCTCTCACTTTCCCTTTCTTCAATAACTTGGTGCCGGCGAAGTTCAACGTATTTGGGGGTTGCCCTGACTTTCGCAGTCTGTGTCAACAGGTCACGTTCACAACAAACGAGCAAAAGGTCAAAGTTAAAGTTTTTCGTGGCAAAAGTTTCTTAATTACAAGTTTGTTTTGCTTAAGTTTCTAATACGCGTTAAAGAGCGCCAAGTTCAAATTTCCCTTTTTCTTCAGGCTAATTAAAATTTCCCCTATTTATTCAGGCAGTTTTCGATAGATATTTGCAAATACTGGTGAATTGTTTAATGTTTCTACGCTTTAATTTTCTTAGAGCCCATCGGCTCCAAGGCTCCCGCTGTGCCCGCGGGCGTGCAAACATTCCAACAACTGGTTCCATTGGGCGCCAGTTTCGCAATGCTCTGCCAGGCGCAGGCGTTTCCAGTGCCTGTTTTTAGGTAATGCAAGTCTAGTACCCTATAAAAATACCTCTCAGAACACATTCAGCCAGTTGTTAGTGTAATATTAAATACATTTAATGTGTATATATTTTAAGAGCCTGTTGGCTTCAAGGCGCCCAGTTTTCCCAGCGTGGCCTCAACCTTTACCATAAACGCGCCGCAGCAGAGCTGCTTGGCCCTGACGTGTGAGGCTCAGGCATATCCAGTGCCCATATTTAGGTAGGCCAGGATTTAGAGCTTGGACTAACGCTTGTCAACTGGTTCTGTTAACTCTAGGCAAATAGTCTAACTATATAATTTACTTTGTTTTTAGAGCCTGTCGGTGCTAAGGCACCAACATTTTCGAGCGACTCCAAGGGCAGCATCTTTGAGCGTTCCATCAATGCCAGTTTCGCTTTACTGTGCCAGGCACAAGCCTTTCCAGTGCCCATTATTAGGCAAGTTCAGTTATTCAGGCAGTTTTCTGTAGTATCTCGATGGATTTGTTGTAATAAATTTATGATTTTCTTTGTAGAGCCCATTGGCTCCAGGGCACCCACATTTTCGACGGATTATAATTCATTTTCCTATGCGCGAGCTGTGGGCCAGAGTTTTGCATTGCTGTGTCAGGCGCAGGCGTATCCAGTACCCCAACAGAGGTAGACTCTACTCAACTTCAGGCAGTTTTCGTAGTTTACTAAGTTATATAAATTGCATTCACAGAACCCATTGGAGCCAGAGCACCAACATTCTCAACAGATTCCAATTCGTTTTCCTACACCCGCGCTGTGGGTCAAAGTTTTGCATTGCTTTGTCAGGCTCAAGCTTATCCAGTGCCCGCCATGAGGTAGTTTTCCCATAAACCTTTCCTTCAGGCAGTTTTCTATTTCCTATATTTGACCTTTATATATCATATGATGCACTTTTTAGAACCTGTCGGTGCCAAGGCTCCCACATTTGCCAGCTCTTCGAAAATCTCTAGCCTGCTCGGACCTAGCTCGGGCGATATTGTGTTGCTCTGCCAGGCTCAGGCCTATCCAGTGCCCTACTTTAGGTACAAATTCAGACAGTTTTCATCTAATATATATAGTTTTATGCTGACCCAATTTTATTTTCCTAGAACCTGTCAGCGCCAAAGGCCCCACCTTTGCTTCCGATATGAAAAGTTATACATTTGTGCGGCATTTTGGCCAGAGTTTTGCATTGCTGTGTCAGGCTCAGGCATATCCAGTGCCCCTGATAAGGTAGACCCGAACCACTTCAGTCAGTTTTCAGTTCACTCGTGTTGCATTTCGATAAACTGTATATTTTCTATAGAACCAATTGGCGCCCGAGTGCCTAGCTTCTCGGGCGAGTCGAAGAGTTTTACGTTTGTCAAGGAGATTTCCACTAGTTTCGCTCTACTCTGTCAGGCGCAGGCGTTTCCCGTGCCAATAATACGGTTAGTCGGGCAGTTTTCTACTAGTAGAATATACTAATGAATATGAAAAGAATATATATAGAATGTATTCCTCATGGCAAGTCCAATATGTTTTGCAGAGCCTGTGGGCAGTGTGGCGCCTAAAATTTCCGGCGGTCGCTTACAAGAGTTGACAATCTCTGCCGCCCATGATTTGGCTATGCTGTGCCTAGGTCAATCGTATCCAACACCAGCATTTAGGTAACGTGCTGAGAGCTCCCACAGTTTTCCAGGCAGTTTTCAATAGCTTGTCGAATCACAAATTGAAATGCATATTATTTCAGAGCCCATTGGCAGCGTAGCGCCCACCATATCTGGCGATCGCTTGCAGGAGCTAACGCGCCAAATTGGGCTTAGCTTCTCCATACTGTGCCAGGGACAAGCATATCCTATGCCTGCTTTTAGGTACTAAAACAAAAAACTTTCAAGAATCCCTAGAGTTCAGGCAGTTCGTATAGATTGTTGACTTTGCCTTCAAATTTGAACATGTTGAAATTTACAGAGCCCATTGGCCATGTCAAGCCTCGCATTGCCATCAAGAGCATTGAAATCAATGAGGTGCCCTTGCGTGAAACCTTTGTAGGCCATTGTCCGGGTCAGGGTTACCCAGTGCCTGTTTATAGGTAGCTAAATTGATGTTAGGGCGTTCTTGCTTAGGAGCTTTTTCCCACTCCCCCAAAGCGGTTCACAGAACAAGCAAATGATTTGAGCACAGCTCACAGTGGAGGTAGGTATAATCACAGGTCAGTTACTCATGAGGCCATGGATCAAGTAAGTAAAGCGACTCTTCCTGGTTTCTGGATCTATGACTGCTGTGACTGTTCATTGCGGGACTTTTCCCTATGCCATTTGCTCGTTCTGTGTCCGCTCTCCTCTGCCAACTTGAGTCGCTTGACTGGTTTTCACTCACCTGTATCTCTCATTGCAGATGGTATAAATTCATTGAGGGCACCACACGTAAGCAGGCCGTTGTGCTGAACGATCGCGTGAAGCAGGTTTCGGGCACACTCATCATCAAGGACGCCGTTGTCGAGGACTCGGGCAAATATCTGTGCGTCGTCAACAATTCCGTGGGCGGTGAGAGCGTCGAGACGGTGCTCACTGTCACTGCACCACTGTCAGCCAAAATCGATCCACCCACTCAGACCATCGACTTCGGACGTCCCGCTGTGTTCACCTGCCAGTACACCGGCAATCCAATCAAGACTGTCAGCTGGATGAAGGACGGCAAGGCCATAGGACACAGTGACCCCGTGCTGAGGATCGAATCCGTTAAGAAGGAGGACAAGGGCATGTATCAGTGTTTCGTGCGCAACGATCAGGAATCCGCCGAGGCCAGCGCAGAGCTCAAGCTTGGTGGCCGTTTCGATCCACCCGTCATCCGTCAGGCCTTCCAGGAGGAGACCATGGAGCCCGGACCAAGTGTATTCCTCAAGTGTGTGGCTGGCGGCAATCCCACGCCCGAAATCTCCTGGGAACTGGATGGCAAGAAGATCGCCAACAACGACAGATACCAAGTGGGCCAATATGTGACTGTGAACGGCGATGTTGTCTCCTATTTGAATATTACCTCCGTGCATGCCAACGACGGTGGCCTCTACAAGTGCATAGCTAAATCGAAAGTGGGCGTGGCAGAGCATTCGGCCAAACTCAATGTCTACGGCCTGCCCTACATCCGTCAAATGGAGAAGAAGGCAATTGTCGCTGGCGAAACTCTAATGGTCACGTGCCCTGTTGCTGGCTATCCCATTGATTCCATTGTCTGGGAGCGAGGTGAGTAATGGAGGGAGAGAGAGAGAGAGAGCCTCTGTTTTCTATGATTATTCCATGATAACTCATTTCTAACCTGAAATTCCTTCCCCAGATAATCGTCCACTGCCCATCAATCGCAAGCAGAAGGTCTTCCCCAACGGCACACTTATCATTGAGAATGTGGAACGCAATTCGGATCAGGCAACTTACACGTGCGTGGCTAAGAACCAGGAGGGCTACTCGGCGCGCGGTTCACTGGAAGTGCAAGTTATGGGTAAGTTGATGGCTTCGATTACTGCGCCAGCTCTACTCCGAGAGGGCTGAGCGCGCATTTACCATTTCGGGCGGGTCGAGTTTTCAGCAAGGATATATGAACTACCGCAACGCTGGTCGCTCCGTTCACTACCGAGAAATATACGATTTGTTCCACCTCAGTGCCGCCACAGATAGTGCCCTTTGATTTTGGCGAGGAGGCGATTAATATGAGCGATATGGTCTCGGCCACTTGCACGGTCAACAAGGGCGACACCCCGCTCGAGGTGTATTGGACAACGGCGCCGGAACCGAAGCTGGGCGCGGCTCGGCTCATGTCCAACGACGGCATCTTGATAACCAAGACGACGCAGCGCATCAGCATGCTGAGCATTGAGTCGGTGCATGCGCGGCACAGGGCGAACTACACCTGTGTGGCTCGGAATGCCGCTGGCATTGTCTACCACACGGCCGAGCTGCGTGTCAACGGTGATGCTCCTCTCTCTCTCTCACTCACTCTCTCTCTCTTGCTCAGTTATTGTCTGTCTTGGTTCGCTTAGTAGTTGTACTTTGATTGTAGAGCAATTGTTTTTAATTTGTTACACCCTCCGCTACCATCTAAGTACTGCCTCAGATAGTGCCCTTTGATTTCGGTGAGGAGAGCGTCAATGAGCTGGACATGGTGTCCGCCTCCTGCACGGTGAACAAGGGCGATCTGCCCATCGACGTGGCCTGGACTAAGAACGGCGGCCGGGTCTATACCAACGATGGCATTGTGGTCACCAAGACCAGCACGCGCATGAGCGTCCTGAGCATCGAGTCCGTGCGAGCTCGCCACGCCGGCAACTACTCCTGCGTGGCCACCAACAATGCGGGCGAGAGCAAACATTGGGCCATGCTGGCTGTGAATGGTTAAGAGATTTTATTTCCTTTTTGGCTTATTCACTTTTCACATTTGCATTGCTTTGCGTTTGCTTTTATTTTCCGCCGACAAAAAAAAACACCCTCCTCCCAGTTTTGCCTCAGATAGTGCCCTTTGACTTTGGCGAGGAGAGCATCAATGAGCTGGACATGGTGTCGGTGTCGTGCACCGTCAACAAGGGCGACCTGCCCGTGGACATCTACTGGACGAAGAACGGCGGACGGCTCTACACGAACGACGGGCTGCTGGTCAATCGGAACAGCCAGCGCCTCAGTGTCCTCAGCATAGAGTCGGTGCGCGCCCGGCACGCGGGCAACTACTCCTGCGTGGCCACGAATAACGCGGGGGCAACGCGTCAATCGGCGCTGCTGGCCGTCAATGGTTAATCGATGTTGCTTTAGTTCTGCTTTGTTTGGCTTTTGTTTGCTTTTACTTGAACATCAATCCCACCCGAACCTTACAGTACTGCCCCAAGTGATGCCCTTCGACTTCGGGGAGGAGAGCATCAACGAGCTGGACATGGTCTCGGCCTATTGCACGGTCAACAAGGGCGATCTGCCCTTGGATATAGCCTGGACCAAGAACGGCGGACGGCTCTTCACCAACGATGGCGTTGTGGTCACCCGCAATAGCCAGCGCATCAGTGTGCTGAGCATTGAGTCCGTGCGCGCTCGCCACGCGGGCAACTACTCCTGCGTGGCCACCAACAATGCCGGCGAGACGAGGCAATCGGCCATGCTGGCTGTCAACGGTTAACTATATACAGCTCCCGATTTCGAGTAGCTTCTGCTTTGGTTTTTGGTTTAGTTTATGTTGATATATCCCATATTCCCCCGTTCCGTTCTGCTCACCGCCAGTGCCACCCTCCATCGCCCCCTTCTCGTTCGGCGACGATCCTGTCAACACGGGCGAAAACGCCGGCGTCCAGTGCATGGTGCAGAAGGGCGATGTGCCCATCACCATCAAGTGGACGCTCAACGGCCGGCCCATTATCAACGGCGAGGAGGGCATCACCATACTGAAGCTGTCGCCCAAGACCAGTGTCCTGAACATAGCCGCCGTCGAGCAGTACCATCGGGGCACCTTCAGGTGCATTGCCGAAAATAAGGCTGGATCCAGCTATACCACCTCCGAACTGAAAGTCAACGGTATCGCCTCTCACTGGTTTCTAGCCCTACCCAATACGAGTTTAGTTTATTACTTTGATTTATTCATTTATCATTTACACACATTATCCATACAGTGCCGCCCCACGTGGTGCCCTTTAGCTTTGGCAGCGAGGTATTCAACATGGGCGACGTCTTGAGCATCAATTGCATTGTGCTCAAGGGCGATTTACCCCTGGAAATATTTTGGACTCTGAACAATGAGACCATTGAGACAGCGGTGAATGGCTTTACGGTCATTCAGCTGAATAGTCGAACGAGCTACCTCAGCGTGGATATGCTCGAGGCCAAGCATCGTGGGGTCTACAGCTGCATTGCCCAGAACCAGGCGGGCCGTGCCAAATATAGCGCTGAATTGCAAGTTAATGGTTCGTTGCTGAAAAGCTTCCTGCTGCCACTATTGCTCTCTCTCTCTCTCTCTCACTATCTGTATGCCTTTCTACCTAACATCTATCTGGTTTATTCGGTGAGGCGTGTGTGCTGTCCAGGCTTAGCTAGCTAGCTGGAACTCAAGTAAAGAGAGTCTTTTGTCCATTCTCATGCAGTTGCGCCACAAATAAGTCAATTTTCCTTCGGAGAAGAGCCGCTGAATCGCGGCGAGGTAGCCAGTGTCAACTGTGTGGTGCCCAAGGGGGATTTACCTCTAGACATTTATTGGACTATTAACTCTGCGCTGATTGTCAACGGTGAGCTGGGATTTACTATCGTGCGACTCAATAAGCGCACGAGCTCACTGAACATTGACTCCTTGGAGGCGGCTCATCGCGGAAGCTACAAGTGCATAGCCAACAATTCAGCGGGTTTTGCTGAATATGTGGCCATACTAGAAGTGAATGGTTCGTCGCGTGCTTAGTGCTTAGTATATGTAGTTAATTCCTAGTTTTATTCTTTTTTCTTTGACATTTATTATAATTTGTTGACCCCCATTCCGTCCCCTCTATATTCTGAAAAGTGCCCCCGCAAATTCAGCCCTTTGACTTTGGCGCTGAGCCCGCCAACACGGGCGAAATCGCTGGCATCTTCTGCATGGTGCCAAAGGGCGATTTGCCCATGGAAATACGTTGGACCCTGAACTCGGCGCCCATCATAACGGGCGAGCACGGTTTCTCTTTATCGCGTATGAATCCACGTACTAGCTCACTGAATATTGACGCGCTGGAGGCCAGACATCGAGGAATATACAAATGCATAGCCACAAACAAGGCGGGCAGCGCTGAATATAGCGCTGAATTACATGTGAATGGTTTGTGGGATTTATGAGAGGATCATAATTCATTTAATTCATATGCATTTCAATTTAGTTTCTTTTTGTTTTTCATTTCTTTGATTTGTAATCTAAAACCACTTAAACCCTTCAAGTGCCACCCCAAGTGCGACCCTTTAGCTTTGGTGAATCAGCGGCAGATGTGGGCGACGTTGCCAGCGCCAATTGTGTGGTGCCCAAGGGGGATGGGCCCCTGGAAATACGCTGGTTCCTTAACGCAGTGCCCATTGTTGATGGCCAGAGCGGTTTTAGTTTGGGGCGTTGGAATGATCGAACGAGTCTGCTGAATATCGATTCACTGAATGCAGTTCATCGCGGCATTTACAAATGTATAGCCAGCAATGCGGCTGGCAGCAGCGAATATGTTGCTGAATTGCAAGTTAATGGTTTGTTTGCTCAGCTACGCTTAGTTAGTAAAATGTACTGAACTCTATTCTTAAGTAGCACTAAATATTAATTGCTGAATTCAAAGATTCATGTTGGAGCACTGCTTAAGGCTGTAAATTGAATTTGCTGTTATCTCAAAAGCATCAAAAACTGCTGAATTAGTAGGTACAAAAACCATTCAAGTAGATATCAAGCTGTATTGTCAGAAATATTACAAATGACTGCGCTGAATTGAAGCTGAATTGTCGGGACTATTCTTGTCTTCAATAACTGCTTGTAGAATTATTTTAAAAGTGTGCTGAATAGAAGCGGAATTGTCACTTTTCACTTTTTCAGATATTTCTTGAAATAAATATTAGAACATAGATAGCTGAATTAAATCTATATTATCTTGTCCAATCTGTTTTCCAGTTTTTGTATAGCTTTGGTTAGTATTATTGCGCTGAAATGAAGCTGAATTGTGCTGTTCAGTTTTACTTCAATTTCTTATACATTTCTTGTCACAATTATTACAAAAATGTGTGCTGAATGGAAGCTGAATAGGTGTTCCGTTGTCCATTTCAACAAATACTCCCACTCTATTTGCTAGTATTCTTTTTCTATACGTCCAGTACCTCCACAAGTTATGCCCTTTGTTTTTGGTGACGAGCCCTCGAACTATGGCGATAGCACGGCCGTCCAGTGCATGGTGTTCAAGGGCGACACGCCGCTGCAGCTACACTGGACCCTCAATGGACAGCCCATAACGAACGAGAATGTGGGCATACGCATTATAAAAATGTCGCCGAAACTTAGCTCATTGAGTATCGATTCCATTAATGATCATCATCGCGGGCTGTTCAAATGCATTGCCAGCAATTCAGCGGGCAGCGCTGAGCAAACGGCAGAGCTCGTTGTCAACGGTTTGAGCTGCACTACATTATGATCGAATTACGTATACGAGTAGTAAATATATTTGGTTTTTGGTTTTGATTTTGAAAATTCCCCACGAACATCACCTTCCCGCAGTTCCCCCACAAATTCGACCCTTTGACTTTGGCGACGAGGCCTCCAACTCCGGCGAAACGATGGGCATTCAATGCACCGTTATCAAGGGCGATCTGCCCATCAACATCAGCTGGGCGCTGAACAATCAGACCCTGATCAGCGGCGACTGGGATGTGGTCATCGGCCGCATGTCCAGCAAGTCGAGTACTCTCAACATTGACTACATATCCGCTGAGCATCGGGGCATCTACACGTGTCGGGCTCGCAATCCAGCTGGCGAGAGCAGCTACAGTGCGGAGCTAAAAGTCAATGGTGACTCCACAGATATCTATAAACTTGTTCTTTTGCTTTCGATTTCTTTTTGTTATTCTTCTGTTCGCTTTGCCATGTCCATACCCGATCCTGACCAGTGCTGCCCAGCATCCATCCCTTTAGCTTTGACAACGACGCCAACGAGGGCGACAGCATCCAGCTGACCTGCCACGTGTCCAAGGGCGATCTGCCCTTGAGAATACGCTGGACCCACAACGATTTGCCGCTCTTCCCGCACCTGGGCGTCATGGCCAGCAAGATAGGCGAACGCATTAGCCTGCTGACCGTGGAGAGCGTGAAGGCGGTGCACTCGGGCAACTACAGCTGCGTGGCCAGCAACAGTGCCGGCAACAGTAGCTATACCACGGAGCTGTTTGTCAATGGTTAGCCCACAATGACGGGAGAGAGATTCGATTGTTATCTTTGATTTAAGTTAGTTTTGGTTTTGCAACTCCCGCCTAACACTTTACACACACTTTGAACACCCCACGCGCCCAGTACTGCCGCAGATAGTGCCGTTCGCGTACGAGGACGTCATCAATACGGGCGACTCCATTGACCTCTTCTGCCAGATTCAGAAGGGCGATCGTCCCATACGCGTGCACTGGAGCTTCGAGCGCAGTGGCAGCGACAGTGGGACGAGCGAGCCACAAATGCGCACGAATCGCATCAGCAGCAAGACGAGCATGCTGTCCATACCGAGTGCTAGTCCGGCCCACACGGGCACCTACACCTGCATCGCCAGCAATGCGGCGGGCACGACCAGCTACGGCGTCAATCTGACTGTTAACGGTATTCATGCCAAGTGATTTTATCTACGTTGGGTTATGGTTACACTTAACGAGCTCACTCCGTTGCATACAAATTCCATACGATACTAATCCAAATCTAATGCGTTCTGATAATGCTCACTACTCTGCTCTACCTCCGCCTCTACCTGTACCTACCTACATGTATATCTACTCATTCATCTGCCTATCCACAACTATGCTATGCTCTTGGAACGTTCCCTGCTTAAGTCTCGCCCAAGATCGCGCCCTTTGACTTTGGCGAGGAGCCCTTGAACTACGGCGAGCCTGCCTCGGTGCAGTGCACCATTCTGGGCGGCGATCTGCCCATGAATGTCACCTGGCTGCTGAACAATGCCACCATTGACAGCTACCACGACATCTCCTTCTCGCGCATCGGCAAACGCATCAATGTGCTCTCCATCGAGTCTGTGGCCGCCCACCATGCTGGCCTCTACTCCTGCCACGCCCAGAACAAGGCGGGCCTGACCGCTCACTCGGCGCGTTTGATTGTTAACGGTTTGTCCATGGATGAAATATGAAAATTCTCTTGCGATACTCCTGATTTTCTTATTTTCATTTACATTTTACTGATTTATTTCTAATTTTATTTTTGCGGTACACCCATTCATGCTCAGTGCCTCCCAAGATAACGCCCTTTACCTTTGGCACGGAGCCCATGAATTTCGGTGAGCCCGTCTCGGTGCATTGCACCATTTCGGGCGGTGATCTACCCGTTTCGGTCATCTGGACGCTGAATCGCCATCCGCTCCTGCCGGAACTAGAAATATTCACAGAGAAGCGCGGCCAGCGCATCAACAATCTAATGATCGATGCCATTGAGGCGAAGCATGCGGGCAATTATACGTGCATTGCCAGCAATTCAGCGGGTCGTGCTGAGCACTCAGCCGAGCTGATTGTGAACGGTGCGTGGTAGATCTATGAGTATACGGAGCTAACTAATGACAGTTTTCACATCTCTATCTGGCTTATCCCTTGCCAAGCCTCGGTCTACCGAGGAGCCCAATTGTAGTTGTTGTTATTGCCTTATTTAGTGACTCTTCTTCTTCTTCTTCCTTATCCATACTTACTCTACCGTGCTGTGTGCTGTTGAAATGTGTGTTGCGAGCTGACCAAATTTGCAATTTTATTGGACTTTTATCTAGCCGTGCCGCGCATTAGCCCCTTCTCCTTTGGCGACGAGTCCATGAGCTACGGTGAATTTGTCAATGTACAGTGCACTATATCCGGCGGAGATTTGCCTGTGAACATTACCTGGACATTGAATGATAAGCCCTTCGAGGACTATCTAGAGATATTGACAACCAAGCGCGGCAAGCGCATCAACGAGCTGACCATCGAGGCGGTCTCGGCCAAGCATGCGGGCAACTACTCCTGCATAGCCGAGAATCGAGCGGGTCGTGTTAACCACACGGCCGAGCTGAAAGTTAACGGTTAATACAATTTACTCACACACAATTTGAATCAAGTTTGTTTGGTATTCTTTTTGTTTGTTTGTTTGTTTGTAATCCTGTCGATCCCAAGTTGCGCCTAAAATTGCGCCATTTGACTTTGGCGAGGATCCCTCAAACTTTGGTGAATCGGCGAGCGTTCAGTGTTTGGTTACCTCCGGTGATTTTCCCGTTACGTTCGCTTGGCTCTTCAATGGACGCGAAATCAATGAGAATGTCTACGATGTGTCCATGGTGAAGCTGGGCAAGAAGATCAGCGCACTGTCCATTGACGTTGTGCGTGATCATCATGCGGGCAACTACACCTGCGTGGCCGTCAACCGAGCCACCTCGGTGAACTACACCGCCGAGCTGGTGGTGAACGGTACAAGACTTGAAATTCATTTCGTTTTCTGTTTGGTTATGCTTTCTTTTATCGATTTCCCGCCCCTTTCCTTATCCTTCCCCCCGAAGTTCCTCCGAAGATTGCTCCCTTTGACTTTGGCGATCATGCGGTTAATTTTGAGGAATCCGTTTCGGTCAATTGCCTTATCTACCTGGGCGATCTGCCCATGGACATAACGTGGCTCTTCAATGGCGCCCACATACAGGCCTACACGGGCGTGTCCATCGTTAAGGGTGGCAAGAAGGCGAGCATCCTGACCATCGACTCGGTGCACGCCGGACACGCGGGCAACTACACGTGCAAGGCGCGAAACGACGCGGACTCTGCGGAATACACAGCAGAGTTGATTGTGAATGGTATTAGGGTCTTACGTGCATGGGATATGTCTTTATCTTTGCCTTTACCTACATTGCTTTGGTTATCATCTCCATACACGCCCACACACACACGATCTCCTTCACAGCTCCGCCCAAAATAGCGCCCTTTGATTTTGGCGGAGCACCGGCCAACTTTGAGGATTCTGTCTCCGTCAATTGCTTGGTGACCTCCGGCGATTTGCCCATTGAGATCGAGTGGTTGTTCGAGGGATCGCCGGTCAACTACGCCGCTGGCATTGCGGTTCTCAAGGGCGGCAAACGTACAAGTCTCCTGACCATCGACTCGGTGCACGCCGGACACGCGGGCAACTACACCTGCAAGGCGAAGAACAAGGCCGCCAGCAGCGAGTTCTCAGCGGCTCTCATTGTCAACGGTTGGCTTTGTATAAATTCTAGAGTTTTTCATTTCTATTTTGTGTTTGTTTTTCGTTTTGCTGCTCCCAAGTCCCGCCCAAAATAACACCGTTTAGCTTCGGCGAAGAGCCGGCTAATGTTGAGGATTCTGTTTCGGTGACTTGTCTGATCTCAACGGGCGATCTGCCCATCGACATTGAGTGGCTGTTCAATCAGTACGGCATCAGCTCCTACTCGGGCATCATGGTCATGAAGGGCGGCAAGCGGAACAGCGTGCTCAGCATTGACAACGTGCACGCCAGTCACGTGGGCAACTACACCTGTCGGGCCCGTAACCAGGCGGCCGCTGTCAACTATACGACCGAGCTCATTGTGAATGGTATTAAGCGATCGAGAGTGAAGACAATGACTTAGTCTTAGCTTAGTTGTATTTGAAGTTTTGTTGCAATTATACATTTTAGTTTTATTTACAAATATATTCATGTATTGTATTTTGGCATCTCAAGCACCGCCCAAGATCACGCCCTTTAGCTTCGGCGAAGAGCCCACAAATGTTGAGGACTCGGTGTCTGTGACCTGCCTCATCTCCAGCGGGGATTTGCCCATAGACATTGAGTGGTTTTTCAATGACTACGGCATCAGCTCCTACTCGGGCATCAACGTGGTGAAGGGCGGCAAGCGCAACAGCATGCTGAGCATCGACAATGTTCAGGCTCGGCATGCAGGCAAATATAGCTGCAAGGCGAAAAATCATGCAGCCGCTGTGAATTACACCACGGAACTGATTGTGAATGGTAGAGAAGGAAGAGGCTTTCTCATATTAGACATAATTGTAGACATTTGATATTTTGATTTTCGATTGCATTTATTTAAACACCTGCACTCCACACTCTACTCAAGTACCGCCCAAGATAACACCCTTTGATTTCGGAGAGGAGCCCACTAACGTTGAGGACTCGGTGTCTGTGACCTGCCTCATATCGAGTGGGGATCTGCCCATTGATATCGAGTGGCTGTTCAACGACTACGGCATCAGCTCCTACTCGGGCATAACCGTGCTCAAGGGCGGCAAGCGCAGCAGCGTCCTGGGCATCGACAATGTGCAGGCCCGCCATGCGGGCAAATACAGTTGCCGGGCCAAGAATCACGCGGCGGCCGTCAACTTTACGGCTGAGCTTATTGTGAATGGTATTCGCAGGAGACAAATAGTTTGCTTGACATAGATTTGGATTTTACTTATTTAGAGTTGATTTCGCTTATGATTTACCTCTTACTCTACACATCTACACACGCTCACTCTCCAAAGTCCCTCCCAAAATCACGCCCTTTGACTTTGGCGATGAGCCCACGAATGTTGAGGACTCGGTTTCTGTGACCTGCCTCATTTCCAGCGGCGATCTGCCCATCGACATTGAGTGGCTGTTCAATGACTACGGCATCAGCGCCTACTCGGGCGTCACAGTCATGAAGGGCGGCAAGCGGACGAGCATGCTGACCATAGACAATGTGAGTGCTCGCCATGCGGGCAAATACACTTGCCTCGCCCGGAATCATGCGGCCGCTGTGAATCACACCACCGAGCTGATTGTGAATGGTATATGAGAGGCCCAACTCTGGGATAGCTATGTATATCAAGTTTGATTTGAAATATATTATTTTTAAGTCCAGCTACCATCCCTGATTTGCACATATATTCTATACATTCTCACGCCTCCCCTAGCTCCTCCCAAACTAGCTCCCTTTGACTTTGGCGAAGTTCCGGCGAACTTTGAGGATTCCGTTTCCGTAAATTGTTTGGTCCAGTCGGGCGATCTGCCCATTGACATCGAGTGGCTCTTCAACGGTCAGCCCATCAACTTTGCCTCGGGCATTGCCGTTCTACGTAGTGGCAAGCGAACCAGCGTACTGACCATTGACTCCGTGCACGCCGGACACGCCGGCAACTACAGCTGCAAGGCAAAGAACAAGGCGGCCAGCAGTGAATTCTCAGCTGCGTTAATTGTGAATGGTTGTTATAGAAGAGATGAGAGACTCTGATATCTTTAATCTAGTGGCAACATTGGAGTATTTTGGTGATTTTGATTTCCTTTTTGGTTTCTTTAATACTTATCCCCCCTCTCATTCCCATGCAAGTTCCGCCCAAAATTATGCCCTTTGACTTTGGCGATGAGCCGGCGAATGTCGAGGACTCGGTCTCGATCATGTGCCAAATATCAATCGGCGATTCGCCCATCGACATTGAGTGGCTGTTCAATGACTACGGCATCAGCTCCTACTCCGGCATCAGTGTGATAAAGGGCGGCAAGCGGAACAGCGTGCTCAGCATAGACAGCGTTCAGGCGCGTCATGCTGGCAGATACACTTGTCGAGCCAAGAATCATGCTGCCTCCGTGAACTACACAACCGAGCTGATTGT